GGAACTCAGGCCACACACCAACATCAATAGCAACAACAACATATCACAATCATTCATCCCCTAGCCAGCAACAGATCACAGTTGCTGGCAACCATTTATCAACAAGCAACACACAATGTTCAAGTGATTTCTTCAACAACACATCTTTGACCAGAATATATTGGAGCTAAACACACTTAACAACAATGGATCAAATGAATCCCTTCATCACATGGAAATCAAAACCACACATGAAAACCCTAAAAAAAGGGACTCATTTTCACAACAAGGGGACTCAAATCACACAGGGCCAAGGGGATTGAAATAAAAAAATTTATTTCACCCAAATGTTATCTCAAATAGGTCATTGAGAACAAATCATAGAAAATCAACACAAATTCTCATCATTCTTAACACATTTCCTAGCTTACCACACAACAACAAGGTCTCATCAGTCACCAAGCACAGAACCAAAACAAAGAATGTATCTTCAGACGCAAAAGTTTCCAAATGTTTTAGTAAGAAAACAGCTCTAAAAAAAGAGAAAAGGGTTGGGGGGTTATCAAACTAAGACATAACAACAATTCCTAATGCATAAGTTTGTATGCACACAGAAATTTGAGTGAAAAGTCATAACAAATACCAAATACCTATGTCTATGACATAGGTTAACCAGTGCTAACTACATGATTTGGCACCGGTTCAATACCCTAAGCAACAGTACACTCTTAGCTTGGCATTCAATGACTATACAAACACAACAACAAAAACCGCAAATTTCATCAAAATAAAGTAAATAATTTATGAATCCATCAGGGGTTTTATTTTCATCCAAAAACTTCTCAAACTGTGTTACCTCAACAGACAAACCGGAGCAAATCACAGTGAGAAGCTGTACGATGAAAGTGAGTCCCTTCATCATATGGATTATCCTAGTGTAACTATTTACGGCCAAAGGACTCAACACATTGGTTTGTTATATAGGGGTCAATTAAAAAGGGACATAGTCAAGGAGAATATTCCAAGCAACATTAATCAAGGGACATAATCCAAGAAATTCAGGCCACACACCAACATCAATAGCAACAACAACATATCACAATCATACATCCCCTGGCCAGCAACAGATCACAGTTGCTGGCAACCATTTATCAACAAGCAACACACAATCCTCCATCAACAAACACTTGATAAATTTGAGCTCAGATAATACTTTGTACGGTATATATAATTAGGGTTAGATTATCATGAAAATGCAAAATTATCAAGAGACATCCTTTACATCATCGTCATCAAACTCATCACCATTCTCATCATCATCCTTGAGTATCTCTTGTGCGCCTTGTGAAACTATTTAGACACTTGATAAATTGTTGGGAAAAATCAAATCTAATACACTCTCATTATCATGCGGGAATGGAAAACATTCATAATTGGACAAGGATTACCAAGGCAGAGTAATACCATTTCCATTTCCAGTAAAGACAAAAACAAGAGGACAGACGCCAGATGGAAGACCGAGAGAGGAGATCTCTTTATATACCCACATAGCCAGTAAAGACAAAAACAAGAGGACAGTAACGCAATGACTTTAGTCACATTAAAAATAGTAATGCATATTATTAATAACAAGTGGTATGCTTGAATCGATTAGCACATACCCATGTTGTCATTTGATTAGATCATTATTTAGTGGCTAGATATTTTTATATTTTGTAAAACATTGTTAGCATGATGTAAACTGGTACAAGACAAGATACTAGAGAAGAAGCTAAGCTGCTACCAAATTAAACCATATTGAATTTGAAATAGGTAAGCAGAACACAAAACGCAAAACTGAAAAGCTTCATCATAATAAAAAACACATGGCCTCAACAAATTCAGCAATGATGGATGAGGAGCTGAGAGATGCAGCCATGAGTGAAGATGTGTAGTTTCTTAGGAATTGTGTGAAATCCAATAAACCCATCGAATACTACTTAAGTTATTACCCCAAAAATAGTGAATTTCACCGAATTTACAGATCATAATTCAGTATCACTTAAACTAAACTATTTCCAATTCGCAAATTAAATTCCAATATATTCCACAAACTCAACTTAACTACTAATCAAAATCAATAACCAAGCATAATTAGCAACCCTAAAAATCGCATATTTCCAGTGAATCAACCAAACTCAACTTCACTCAATTATATCGACTCAATTATACAAAATTCCAATCAAATCTATAACAAAGCACATCAATCAAAGTCCAGATCAACTAAAAAGCTCAATCACGACAAAGATCTGAGCAGATCCGATAAAATAACCAAACATACAAACAACACCAAAATCACTAGGGTTTTCAACTGAAATAACTCAAACAACAAAAAACACCAAAAAAACTCAAAATGAATAATTGGACCAAAAGACCAAAATATAACGCAAAGCTAAATAACCAAGAAACCCTAACCTCAAATTTCTGATTTTTGGTTCGAAATTGATTCGAATTTGTTGTTGTTGAAGACGCAAGCACATCGATTGATTTAAAATAGACGAACCCAGAAACCCTAACCTCCAATATTGTAGAAAGAGAGAAGGAGAAGGAGAAGGAGATCGAAAGAGAGAAAAAAGGAAAGGGAAAGTGGCGGTTATGGAGAAGGAGATCGAAGGAGAGAGGAGTTTGAGGAAAGTGCTTAGAGAAAGCTCAGAAGCCCTTTCAATGGAGAAATTCAAGTAGGCTTCAATGGAGGAGAGAGAGAGGCAGATGAGATGAGATAGCAGGAGGAAAGATCGAGGAAATGAAAAGAGTATATGGGAAAGAAATGAAAACGAAGACCTGGTTTTTTTTTTTCAAAAATGGCACCGGTTTGAACCGGTGCCAACTCTCTTCCACAATATAATATTTTTTTATTTTTTTTAAGTTGGCACCGGTTTGAACCGGTGCTAATTACAGGATTTGGCATCGGTTTTAGTTGGAACCGGTGCCAACACTGAATTTTTCAATCCCACCCATTTCTTTTGGCACCGATTTTCAAGAACCGGTGCTAAAGGGGGGGTGCCTATTTCATTTTTTCTTCTAGTGGGTGGGGTTAAGGGGTGTGGGGTGGGTTACGAGATTGTGGGATGGGGGTACATGGTGGGTTAGGGGGTGGCGGTGGGGTGGGTTAGGGTTAAGGGTGCAGGTGGGGTTAAGGGTGTGGGTGGGTTACGGTGGGTTACGGTGGTGGGGGTGGGTTAAGGGATGTGGGCAGTGGTGGTGAGTTAGGGGGTGGGCAGTGGGTTAGGGGTAGGTGGGGCAGTGGGTTAGGGGTATGGGTTGTGGGCAGTGGGTTAGGGGTATGGGTTGTGGGCAGTGGGTTAGGGGTAGGTGGGGCTGTATTTTTTTTATTAAACTTTCCAATGGAAATTCCGTCAGATGCATAGTTGTTTCCGATGAAATATTCCGTCGGAAGGTTGTAACAACGATGGAATTCAGTCCGTCGAAATGTTGCGATGGACTTTCCCATTTAGTCAAACTTGACTCCGACATAACAAAATCCGTCGAAAATTTCGTCAGAATGGACCTTTTCGACGGAAATTCCCTTGGAATATAGCCAAATTCCTACAAAATGTAATGCGACGGTGCGTTTCGACGATATTCTGTCGAAAACCGGCATTTCCGACTAGATTTCAGGATATTCCGAGGGATTATTTCCGTCGTTGATTAACTGTTTTCTAGTAGTGCATGCCCATGATGAATATGCTTCCACACCTGAAAAGCTTCTCTTTACTTTGTCTCCACCACTTGCCTTTGAAAATGGGTTGTCGTAGGGCCAAGATAAAGATAAGACCAAGCAAACACACAAACACACAATCAACAATGCTGAGTACATAAGCATAAACAGTACACACTAACATGCTTTCATCCTATTAACACACAACTTACCTTATTGCACCTGTCTACAAGCATACAACATACAACATAACCAACTAAAAAATCACTAGATTATTTATTTAGCTTAATTATGCATCGAACGGGTTATGGTTCCCACGCATATAAAAGGATCACTCGTAAGTGGTACTAACACGGGAGCTAATCGTGCCAATATAAAAGGATCACTCGTAAGTGGCGGAATTCCCACGCATAATAAAAATAAAGGAAAATACAACGTCTTGTACTCCCAAGAAGTTATGGTCAAATGTAAAGTCGCATAACTCTCCCAATACGTTCATACTTGAGGTATATACATTCCAATAGTTTTGATGCGTAATCTCTTTCACTTTACGTTGTTTACATATTTTAGACTTGGTGATGACTCTCAAACCATCATTTAATCAATCACAATAAATCATCCAAGCAATCAAACATACCAATTTAATTATTGAATAATTAGTGACCACATAAACTTTAATGTTGAACTCTTTTTAAACTATCTCGGTGTTAAATAACACTTTATACGCATAATGTGCCACAAATCCTATCCATCGGTGTTTAAAACACCTTAAATGCACTTAGGCACCAAAATCTAAATTAATTCTCGTGTACATAGAAACTTAAATAACTCTTATCCCAATAAAAATTATATGAACCATAATAAAATTTTCTTTTAATATTCCAATCCAAATTAAACATTTAGTTTAATTAAACATGCTCCCAATCATGCCAATAATAAAAGTGTGGTTCATATTCAACATGCGAACATAATTAATTTCAATCATCAATTCACCACAAATAATCCCATACTTCACTAATCAATCACCAACATCAATCCAATCAACAATTCTAACCAACACCTATCATGATACTACCTTGGAATTAATTAAACAAAGCCCAGCACGCTTCTATACACTTAAATAATTACCAAGTATGTGACCGTACCTTGAATATGATCTCAAAATCGTCACGAGTACACGAAATCACTCACTTGAAAATCTCATACAACCCAAAATTAAAAAGAGACATTAATACCTATTCAGCAATATGTACACTCTTTAAATCACTTATAATCCCTCTAAAACAAGCTGGAAATTTAAAATCCCTACTTTTATTCCTAATAAATGGGTAATTAAAAATCCTTTAATAAACATAATTATAACCTTTATATAAAAATTTAAGCTTTATAAAAACATGTAAAATTGCTGTAGTTATATCTTTCTAAGTATTTCTGTCAATGGTACCTTTTTTTGGTGACTGTAATTACTCCCTTAAGTCAAATCTTACTCCCTTAAGCTGACGTGCTACACTGACCTTTCTACTTTTCTAGCTCTAACTCCACTAATATCACCAGTTTGCATTGATGTTTGTTTTCCTTTTCTCTGTTTTAATAGGAATGTATCAAATTCGAGAAGCTAATCAAATGGTCGAGGAGTTTATGCTTGCTGCCAATGTTTCGGTTGCAGAAAAAGTGTTGAAACATTTTCCATTTTGTTCATTATTAAGGTACAGTTATGTCGTAGGAACTGCCTATTTAACAAAGAGTGATAATGGTTGCTGCCAATGTTTCAGAAGTGCTTAAGCAATAAAGTTACCGTATACAATTCTTTTTTTTTTCATAATAATGAAATTGAGTCCAAGAGACTTCAGCTGCATCTGGATTTGAAAGCTACTTTTTTGTTCAATAAGGCCGGTGATTGGTGAAAATACTTTGATATATATCAATTCTTGATGTAACTGATATTCTAGATTTATTTTCACCTGGAATATGCTTGTAGGCGTCACCCTACTCCAACAAAAGAGATGCTTGAGCCTCTTCTACGCACTGCTGCTGCTGTTGGCCTTGATCTGGATGTCTCATCAACAAAGGCACTTGCCGATTCATTAGACCGGGCTGTGGTAAGTTACTTATAGTTGCTTTTCTGAGTTTTCTCTTCCTTCTTCCCTTTATCCCAGACCCTAATGGCCAAAACACAAATAATAACTAATGGAGGAGAAAGGCGGTGCATGTTGCTGACAAGCTTTATTACTGGTTAATTAACTTCAAACAATATGATTTACTTCTGCATGTCCAATGCATATACCTTCCAAATCAAGCAAGGAGGAAAAGAGCTTGTTGCTGACCATCATAGTTTTTGTTTTCCAGGGTAATGATCCTTATTTCAACAAGCTGATTCGGATTCTGGCAACAAGATGCATGTCGCAGGTGAGTACATGGTATTGCTGATATAATGTCTTGCAATGGAGGTTTGATGTCTAACTTGCAAGGTGGTGGCTTTTTTCTTCTCCAATATACAATTTTAGGCAGTATATTTCTGCAGTGGAGATCTCAGCCCTCCAGAGTATCTTCATTATGGTCTTGCTGCACCTTTGTACACTCATTTTACATCTCCTATCCGAAGATATGCAGGTTGGTACATAATTTGGGCCTCTCATAGTTAGTGTACTTAACAGTATCATATTAGTCGATGCTACTAGTTATTTACAAATTCCCATATTTTTTGTTATTGCAGATGTAGTAGTACACAGGCTGCTAGCTGCATCCATAGGGATATCCAAGCTTCCAGAAATTTTCCAGGATAGGCCTCAACTTACTAGTATTGCTGACAGTAAGTATACATTGATATCTATGCTTAATCGTGGAGGATAATATCGTCCAATGCAGATCAAAGTCTTTCTATTGGAGTTGGATGTCTAGGACATAGATGGAGTGGTAAACTGAGAGAAACATATAGTCCTACCGAGGGACAAATAATATGAAACTTGTGATGTTAAAATTTGAAATTTATGTGAAATATCCAGTCCTTGATCACTAATTTTTGTTTTTGCTATAGCTTTGGATTTGAGTATATGGATCGTTGTTGTGTGTTAGTTCTTGTTGCATTAGGAATGGTTGGGCTATTGCTTAGTGCTGTTATGTCATTTCCAGCTTATTCTTTGCTATTATTGTTTATCTCATCAGTGCTGTGTGATTCTCCATTTGACTATATGAACTTTTTGCCACTGTTCTTCTGTACTTTTTTGGAAAAAGATTATTGACCAAATTATTCTACTCCCTCCATCCCATATTATTTGACAGCTCTGGTACACTTCTTGAGGTACCAAATAAAATGGATTAGGGGAGTAATTCTTACCTGTTTTTCATTTATTGTTTCTCTTCCGAAATTCCTAAGCTCGTCTTTGATTTGAATATATTCCTAAACTCCAAGAATAGGCTTTATATAACAAAATTAAATAAGACTTGTTTCTCTCTACAAGACTCCGAGAATAGGCTCCTTATTATCGTTGAATATATTTGCCACTAAGACCTGTCTAGTTAGTTACATGCTTGTGCTCGTTAGTGTCGTTACTAAATGTCGTACCATCTCGATTGCCTTCAGATTTGAACTACCGACATAGAAATGCCCAAATGGCTGGTCGGGCTTCAGTGGAGCTTCATACATTAATATACTTCAGGAAACGGTACATGTCTTCTTCAATCTTCCCTCTGCACCATCTGGGTATATGTTACAGATGTGTATTGATACATTTTAATCTCTTTTACTCTCTGCAGGCCTACAGATACAGAGGCCAGAATAGTGAAGATAAGATCCAATGGATTTATTGTATTTGTGCCCAAGTATGTTTTCTACTCTCCTTATTTTGGCTTCTGGTAATGCTTTCTTACATTTCTTGTTGAATTAGTTGCTTGGAGATCTACTAGACACCAGACCTCTCTACTTTTTCTTTGATAAGAAGATCGTATCTTTCTGTCTTCATGATGTCATGATTCATGTCCAAATACAGTGCAGTAGTTCTAGTAACTTACAGATGCTATTTTAGTCATGCAATTTAGAGTATTAATATTGATAGTACCCTGGAAAAAATGGGCTGATGATACTGGGCCAAGCCGAGGCAAGATATGGCTGCCGTATTTCTAGGCTTTGGGTGGGTCCTGGTCCACATTTTCATTGGATAAGTACTGCTTGGCTTGAAATGATGGGCAAGACGAAGCACACAAAATAACTGAAATTTATCCTAGGACCTAGGCGTTATGCGACCTGACATGAATTGCGATGGGTACATAGACCTGGGTCTTGGGCCACTCTTTTGAACCCCAGGCAAGTGAGCTCGACACAGCCAGGTGCCATCTTTTCCCACAAAATTTGCAAGCTTGTTAGTGCCATATTACACCATTTGATCTGAAGCTCTGTGGATGATGATCTTGACATATGTTATGGGCCTTTGGCAATGTCTGAAGCTAATTGACCTTTTTCCTCATCTGATTTAGGATAAAATGAAATTCTTGGACAGGTGTCACATGCTCTGGCAAGTGAGCAGTTATGTCATATAAAGCTAGACTGCACTGCAGTTCAAGTGGCTAAGTTTGGGTATGCATAGAATGAAATAAGGCGACTACTTTCAAGCTGATGGCCAAAAAAAAAGTGAAATTGAACAGTGAAAATATCAAATTACTACTAAAGATGTTAAACACCTCGAGTCGGTGAATAAGTCTTATTACCTTGATATGCATATTCATGTACAAGCCCTGCATTTTGCATCATATTGTTCTTAACTTCTAGGGTAAGACATTTTGCCCTTGGGTGTGTCATTTGAAGCACCAGACCAGGCCACTAGAAGCTATAAACGATGCCTGCTGATAAATGGGATTGAGACTCCACCTTGCACATCTGTACATGAACACCAGGGAATGGATGATCTGAGATGGACTTTTAGGTGCAACTCATCCAAGTCTCCTAAATGACAGGAAACAGCCAGCCAATATTACAGGAGTTCTTAGTTAATATCTGACTTGTACTAAACTTTGTGCCTGTAAATATTAACAAGCGAGCATGCATTTTTCTTGTTATGTTGACTGGCTGTGAACACTTCATATATCTTCTACTTGCTCTCTCTCTCCCCCGTGTTTTTAGTCTGTATTCCTCTCTCTTTATTCATCCTCCACCCTCTGGATGATGTCTGACATGCTGGTTCGTGATATTTATAGGTATGGTATTGAAGGGCCTGTTTATTTAACTGCAAGAGGTGATAGTGGGAGTGGAGAGTGGATGGTGGACGAGCAGCATCAGCAGGTTAAAAAGGCAGATGGTAGCCTTTGTTACAATGTTCTGCAAATGGTGCGAATTCATATGGAGGTTGTAGAACCCCAGCCTAACAGGCCTAAACTTGAACTGACTCTTACAGAATACCTCAACTTTTTTGTTCGTTGGAATATATAAAAAGCAATTTGTACCATACTATCCTATTCTAGTTCTTTCCATTTAATTTCAAGTGTGGGATTTTATTTTCATTTGTGCTGTTATTATTCACGGTATTTGTCGGAAAAATGTCAGTACAAGCCTTCTATGACCAGCAATTACTGGTAAAATTCATTACTTAGTAGTGCTTTCTGTACACTGGTACTTATATCATTGATACAAGGCACCCAAACAAATCCTATTGACATTTGGTTGGTAGATTTATATAAATACCATCGTATTATTACGTACATAAGAAAGTTCCTATCTTTACTCCAAAAGAAACAATTGCAGTTTTCTGTTATTTGCATAATACTTTGCATGTCACTGTGAAATTGAGGGAGCTACTCTGATTTTTTTTATTTTTTTTTATTTTTATTTGGACAAAGAGAACTACTTAAGAAACAAACAACAAACAAGGCTAATAAAACAAAGCTATTAAAAACCAAAACAAAGCAATGAACGCCACCGAGCTGCGCCAGCCAACCTATGAGCAGCAGCAACCTCCTCCCGGGGAACCTTTTGAATATGGCATATCTGAAACGCAGAAATAATCCTCTGAATTTCTTGATAAATCCAAATGGTAGAAATATCAATAGAATGGTGTCTTCCCAAAACTGCAGGAATGCCACTGCAATCAGTCTTGATTTGCAATTGAGTGATATGACGACGAACAGCATGACACAGACCTAACAAGCAAGCCAGAAGTTCATAATGAAAGGCAGAACTAGTAACACGAGCCCGAGCACCCCCATAAACACTCAACCCGCACCTGCAGTGTTATCACACACTGCAGACGGATCCCCTTTCGAGCAAGAGGAAGAAATACGGAGGCCGAACCCTGGAGGAACACTGCAACTCATGGAAACCAAGCAATCACGAGCTGCTGCACATCTGGCTATCCAACCATCTGCCACCCCAAATACCATCTGCGGGTAATAAAGCTCAGAACGAAATCTCAAATTATTTCTTGTAATCCAAAGCGCCCAAATAAGGCCAAAGACACAATCTAAGAGATGTCAAGCCTTAGAATAAGTGAGAAACAGTCTCCATAGAATAATGGCAAAAACCACAGCAAGGATCAACAGACATGCCCTTCCGATACAACACATCAGTCGTAGGAAGAGAATTATGAAAAATCTTCCAACCGAAAACCTTCCATTTAGGCAAAAGAGGGAGACCCCATAAACGCTTCCACCAACCGGAGGAAGGCAAGAAAACCAATGGCACTGAAGCATATAGATGACCAATAACAAGGGCATAAGCCGATTTTGTAGAAAAAAATTCCAATAAACAAAATCATCAATCTGCTGTCTAGGTCATTCCATAGCCAGAATGAGCCTAGCAATAGACAAAGGGAACAACCTATGATTCTTAGCAGAATCCCACATATTAGTGTGTGGGCTTAGAAGGTTGGACACCTGAGAAGGAAGATCCGACTCATTGATTATCGAGTTAAAGCTAACTTGAGCACCTGGTAGTCTGGTACCCAACAATCACTCAGAATATTAACCCCAACACCAGACCCAACCTTCTATGCTACTCTGATTGTTGATCTCATTTTCAATGTTTCGAAACAATTCATCTCTTGTTGAAATGCATTTTTCTCTTTTGGGATTTAGTAAGTGATCCATTCATATGAAACATAATGTGATGTACAGTCCAAAGTAGTACATGAATTGATTACTGGATTGAGGTAGTCAGATTGTCCATGAACCATGAGAAAAAATAGGTTTCAGCACTGCATTATCTACATTTTAAATTTTTGACTACCTAATCAAAATATTAAGTATTAAAATTAAAATAAATAAAACAAATTAGATTACAGAGAAAAGAAAAAAAAAAAAAAAAAAAAAAACTGGCTATAGATTCTATCTACTCGCATATTTTTTTCATTTGAAGAAAACACTATAATATTAAAGACACAATGAAATAAAAAATACTGTCAGAAATTGCAAGGCAGAAGAAAGAAACAAAATTTTCCACCTTAACGAGTTAAAACTCAATAACCTCAATGTCGACCTCTTCCTCGGCCTCTTCCTCTACCTCCTCCTCTACCTCCTCCTCTACCCCCTCCTCGGCCTCCTCTACCACCTCGGCTCCTCCTCTCATAATTTGTAGGCTTAAGACCTAACGACTGAACACCCCTCTTATTACGTCGTGGATCTTTATTATCTTCATCTTCCTGGTACTTTGCTTTACTTCTAGAAACAAAGGAAATCTCTCGTGACCCTCCTCGTCCTACTTTAACATCACCATGCAAACGAGATGCTCTTTGATCATCATGCAAAGCAGCCACTCTCTCTCCTAAAGGAAGAGCGTCTTCATTAGCAAGTGAGACATTTTCCAAGAACGCTTGTGCATGCCTTTCATCCTTCACTTCATACAATCTGAAGAATATGATAGAGGTTTAACAATTGTAAATAAATAAAATTTTGAAGTTATTTGCTTCTTAATTATCTTTTATTCAACTCGCTGAAATAAATGGGAAAAGAAATTAGCTCACCTAGGAGTCTGCGATTTCTTATCCAGCCTGCCTTCATCATCAGAGGAAGCATCACCTTCACTCATCTCATCCTCCATGATAGGCTCAAAGTGCTCATCCAGCAAAGCAGTCTGCTTCTGGGGAGCTATAGGATGTAATGCCATATATTCCTGGGAATTCTCGTCAATCTCAAATTCCTGGGCAAAGAAAATAGAAAAGAAAAGGTTGTGTTATGAGACGCAGTGAAGCAAATTATACTGTAGCCTTCTTTTAGGCAGTCCTTGAGGTAAAACTAGCCAGAGTTACTGAATGCCAAATGAAAATGCCACAGCAAATAAGCATGTACAAAAACTCAGTGATAAGAAATATAGAATAATGTTAACGGCATAATTAGGCAATACCGGATTCTCAAACAACTCCGCAAATCTATCATCGTTCAGTATGTCACTGTTCAATCCCTTCTTTTTCTTTGAGGATTTCTTTTTATCAGCATCATTTTCAGCTGCTTCTTCATCCTCGAGAAGAGTACGTACGAGATGACGGTTAACCTTTGGCAGCTTCCTCTTAATCTGTGAAAGACAATAGCCACAAGAGAACAAATGATATCAAATAACTATAAGGCAATATTACATCAATATAGCAATGAAATTAAAATTAGGGCCTGTTTTGTTCAGCTTGATTTCAGTACAGTTCAGTTCAGCTCAGGTCCTAATTTCCATCTTTCATAAACAATTCATTTCAGCTCTATTCAGTTCAGTTCAGCCCCAATCAGTTCACTTCAGTTGTTTTCAATAAATCGGAATAGACCCTTAGTTTTCTCCATTTGCAAAATGCATGGCCATGGTGATAATGTCATGACCCCAAGTCCAGCCAGATAAAATAAATTGTACTCCCACATGCCCAATAATTATTTCATATAATAAGTGACAAGTTCTAAAAAATTTCAGAGCAAAATGGAAATGATGTATCAATAGCATTTCATGTATCACATAACAGTTAAAACATAAGAAAAACTGAAAAACACAAGATACCAGCCTCACAACTTGGCCTTGATGCTAAAAGTTTGTTACTTAACTGATGGGAATATATTAAAATAGAAGCAATGTAATTTGAATGACAAAACTGACCGTTATACGTTCACGATGCATGGCCTCCAGCTTCTCCTTCTTACGCTTCTCGATGTAAGCATCATATGCAAATGGATCCGTTATAGACTTTGCCTGCAATTATCACCAAAAAAAAAATTCAATCAGATGTCCATAAAACAAGGGGTATCCAAAATCTATTCCACAGCCAGCACAATCCAAATATAAAGCCAATGTCTATAATACGGTAAACAGGTTCAGATATACACATTGCTTTTTGTTAAAAAGTAAATATTATTCCGTAAATAGGGGGGAGAAACAGCAGAAAATCAATGAAAGACAATAAGCTTGATTCCCCCAATTAGCAGCAGCATTAACAATGCATGCAAAAATACAACACAGGTGACAGCTTAGTTAATCAATCGCCATACGTTCCTCTTACTGTCACAGAATTGTTGCACAAAAATCTTGTCGTGCTTAAGACACATGACTATTCACTTGGGCTACTGCAAAACTTGGCAGAACACCCCCCCCCCACACACACACAAAAAAAAAAAAAAAAAAAAAAAAAAAAAAAAAATCTACAAGTGACCATGTGCTAGTGCACCTCCTTGTCATACGTATTTAACTTCAAGACAGTTCCAGACTACTAATTTCACATAGGTGAACCACATATGTCCTTCCAAATATAGAAAAAAAGTGATCAGACGATCGCTACAATGGTAGCAGTTTCACAAAAGCTACATCTTGCATGTAGGTTACTTGGCATGCTTCGCAACATATTATACACATCAAAAGTTCCCAGTTTATCTTGGTAATACAAGAGTTTTGGAAAATATTATTTTAGAACAAAAAATTGATGCTCGTGGAATTTATGATGTATGAAACAAGTATGTAGCCTGATGTAAAAATATAATATGAATTACAACAAGGCTATGTCCTTTGCTTTTATCCCCCATGAAAGGAAATCCCACAAATTCTAATCAGGAACTCCAACAGATTCGCATACATCAAACAAGGCATTTTGAGTTCACATCAGCACATGTAAGGCTTATGCATAATAAACAGGTAGAACGGTAGAGCCCAACAAAGCCAAAAACAGAATACAATGGCAACATATTAGACCATCTACCTTCTTATATAGCCGATAATCAATGAAGTACCCATGCATATAAGCTCTGAGAAGGTTAGTTCCGATTAAATTGGTCAGGTTAAGTCTCTCAAGTTCTTCTTTAGTTAAGAACTTGTAATCATCGTATATACTTGTCTGAGCATTCTCTTCCAGCTCTTCCTGAAAAGACCAAGGCAAAATGTGGTAAGGTACTACAGCAGAGTATTAGGAACACCACAAGACAACTCAAGATATATTCAATTAATTCAAATCTCAGAAACAGAAATCATCGCACAGTATAAAAGGACTAGACTAAGTACTTACAGTCAAGTTTTCCAAATATGAGCACCACTTGGGGGCAGGCCCAAGAGCAGGAATGAAGTAAGAGGGTATATGAGTTGAATCTAGAGCCAATAACATTAGCCCAGTTTCACGAATCACACATATATCATTAATTGCACCACCTGTTGGTTCGATACTGGTCATCCCTACACCCTGCAATTAAAGAAACATCTTATTAAGAGCTATAAACAGCTTAAGCAAAAGCTGATACAAAATTTGAGATACAATTGAAGGTCAAAGCTTCCATTTGTCAAGCAACAAGCTTAACTTCAGCTCTATAGTCAAGCTTAATTTTGAGGCTACCTATTCCAGCAAATCTCAGCTTTCTGACAGGCAGCTTGCCTTCTTCTAATTTAGAGCACGCAGAAGAATAAAGGGAGACAACATGTATTAAGTAAGGTAAAAGAAGCTCACCGTCTCAGGATCCCAAATTCTGACGATATGATTATCTGTGCTAATTATCTTAGGATGTTCTGAATTTAAAGTCCGATGCCACTTGATATCCAAAATTGGGCTTCCATACCTATTACACAGGACGACAAAACATCAGAAGGAATTTTCACCTTTCCCATTAAAAATCAATAAGCAACACCGTGAAAATTGCATGCTTACATGTGATCCTTAACTCGAATAGGATGGGAAGATCGTAAATCGTAGATCAGTACCTGTAGCACAGAATAACACATATTGATTGATCATATCGTCAAACACTTACAACAAAACTGACACATATCTCAGAACAAACAACATATGTAATTCACTTTTGACTTGTTATGTAATTCACACAAATGTACTTTACAGTTTACACAGATGTATTTAAGATTTTAATGTAATTCACATTTGACTTGTTATCAGAAATGACAGCTTTTCAATATATATTACTAGTTTTTTAGGATGCTAATGAATTAAGGCTTGTTTTTAACGCAACCAAGATCATGTAGGAAGTAACTTAGGTGCGAAAATAGTTACTCCAACGTGAATTTGGCTCTAGTTGAACAGTTGCAACAAACCTGATGAAAAAGCCTATTGTCCAAGGCTTCTACCGTTGTGGTCTAACCGTCCAAGAAATTTAAAGATAAAAACATCCACAATTACACATTACCTTTCATACTGATCTTGCACGATGCAAATATCCCAGCTAACCATATCCAAACAAATCAGAAATTCTAATCTAAAGGTATGCTAATTGAATTGCTCAGGGGAACAAAATTATAAAGCTGCTAAGAAAATTCATAGCTTACCTTTCCCTCACTGCTTCCTACAGCCATTTGAAAGCCTCCTTCATCATCAAACTCAATAGCAGTTACCTGCAAGTGATGCAGCAAATAGGTTGGCGGATATTCCAAACAATTGAGGTCCTAATCTAGTCAACTTACTGATTGAGATAAGAAACTGATCAAAACTGAATTCTGTATATTTAATTGATTTACTAACTAAACCGATTTTTAATATATTCAATTTATTTTATTAAAAATAGGAAAAAGATGAACAAACCCAATGATAAAACTACATAACACAAAGAGAATAATAAATTCCATATAGTTCATCACTGACATTTCTACAGCTGAGGTTTACTAAAAACAAATTTTGACAGCCAAGTACATTATCGTAAAGAGGAAGGTCCTTTTCATAAACAGTTCAATTTTGAGCATTAAGCGCAGAAAATTAGATTTTGCTGCATGTACAAGCTAAAGGCATTCACATTACATCAATCAATCAATCAAAGCCTTAATCCCATAAGTGGGGTCGGCTAACATGAACCAAATTGATTATTCCGTGTAGTCATCGACATAAAAAGGCATTGACATTACATCTAGCAAATTAATGAATGCCAAATAGTTTAGGTTGAATTAGGGATCAAATCTCGTCTACGTCATTTGCCCTTTGTTGCTCTATGTCCACCAAAAAAAAATTTGCCAATAAAAAATAGTACCTGACCATCGTCCTCAGCAGCAGCGACAGCATTAATTCTACCAACAGATGATCTTGCTCTCATATCAAAGCATTCAACAGCCCCATCCTCACCACCACAAGCAACTAATCCATGACAATTGCTGATCCAAAAAGAAAATTTACAGATCTCAGAACAAAGAATTATTTGAGCAAGATGAACCAAAGACTAATAAATTACAGATAGAATCATTACCTTCTAGACACTACATTTAATCCAGGAGATTGAGTAGTAAGAGGGGCAAGAAACCGACCCTATATGGAGGAGTCACATGTAGTGTTAAAAATGTGGTTATCTGCTCAACAGATAGCAAACTAGGCCTGACATCTGAAGCAATATAGAAAAATATCTGAAGGAAAACTTTTTAAATTAGCAAGCATCCATTTCCAGGTACAAAATTCAAATCAATACTCCAGTTGCTAGTGCTCTAACCAGGATAACAAGTCCTGTTCTACCTCTGCTCATTTCAAAAACCAAAGAGAGGTATACTTGGATACATAAACATACAAAATTGAGAAATAATCTCAGGAGAGTAAAGAATAGTCTTTAATTTAAATTGGAATTGCGGAAAAATAAGCCGAAATTTTATCTCAATCGGACAAAAAAGAGCAATTTCATTACCCAACAAAGAAAAAAAATTACAGATTTGTTTTTAACAAAAGCATGGACAGTCATATCCTCTACATACAATAAACTTACTAAACACATAAAGAGAGAGCCCGATGTTACTTGAGGTTTTTTTTTTAATAGATAACAAAGAAAAATATTAAGACCAAGAGGCCAACACCAATCAACACGAAGATTATTGCAGGAGAAAAGTATACAGAAAGATAAAACAAAACTTGGTGGTTATAAGAATGCCAAAGATTGCAAAACGTCAATCTTCTTCAGGCTAATCTACTAAACAATAAACTTGAAAAATACAAGATCTGCCCAAGTTCCCTATAACTGCCAGAGTTGTTTAAAAGTATCCAAAATTCAAACTGATATTCCATAACATGATACCTGAATTGAAATTTAAATTTCGGAATGGGTTCCAGACTAAAGATATATTACTTCCACCGTTTTTTATTAGATGCATCACTTTCTAAAAGGGGGTACTAAATGCAGGGACAACTTTACCTGAATGCAGAATAAGGTAATTTTTAAAAAAAGCATATATTCCAATTTTGCCCTTGTTTTAATTTAATCCTTTTTCACTCCTAACTATATAATCATCCCTACCGTTTAATTTACAACCATATTCTAACGTATTCAACCTTTCATCCTATTTAATATCCAATACTATACAAATTCATGGACAATAATGAAGTGCACTACAACAATTTTTTGAGGTATGAAAATTATGTGCTGTAATTTTTTTTCCCGCAAAATCTATCTTTGGCAAAACTAGAATTTTACGCATAGAAAAGGAAGTGTAAGACATACTCCCAACGTTCCAATTTAGTTTTCCTACTTTCCTTTTAAGTCCATCCCAAACCTATTCCTATCTTTGGCAAGGGCCTACAATTATTGTAGTACTTCTCCCCTCTACCCTTGGCCCACCAGTTATCTCTCGTCACATACTTCGAATAAATTTATACCCCACTATCTCCCATCACATCTAGTTTTATACTAGAAAGAATAATTGATAATCAAACACCTCCTAACAATATGTACTTTGATAAGTAGGCATACTAAATTGGAATGTAGGGAGTATATATATCAAATACAAGAATCCAGTACGCAAGTATATGAACTTTCTGGTATTGGATGTTAGTATTCATTCAACATATACAGTTATACACAACTCTGCTTAAGAGCAAGATAGGTAGATCAGCTAGTTAAGAAAAGCTAACCTTTCTATACTAGATAGATTGTTTTTCTAAAGCATCATCAGCTTTCCAATTACAAAAATAATTTCATCATTTAGGGAATGTAATGGTCACTTGGTCATATACTCATTGTGCTCAAGCATTCTTCATCCACAAACTTAAGCAATACCCTAACTTCCTCTCTAAATGGTTTACATGAAGCTCTGAAAAGTGGCACACAAGCCCTGCCCCGTAAAATTCCTAAATAATATAACTTACTATAAAGCATAAGTAAAGTGATATGGTCAGGTATTCATGCGATTATTTTGAAAGAAGGAACCATGAACCAATCATTGGAAGAAGCTTGTGTGGCTGATTATTCAACAAGCAGTCTAGTAGATACTAAGCTAAGGGTGAAAAACAAATACGAAAACAAACCAAAAAAAAATGCATTGACAGAAAAAGTAAATGTAGTTCAAATGTGGTCCTACCATACATCCATTTCATCTATTAATCTTTCATGCCTCTGTAATTAATCATCTTATTCGAGTCTAGACCATAAACCCAGTCTCTGAGAGAAACTTTGCAATCTATGGTCACCAGTTGTTTGGGTGATATTGATGGTAGGAAATGCAATCCATATAAGGGATTCTCCTCATTACAGATAATGGCAAATGCGAAAGTACATTTTAAACACCAGCTACAGTAATAATTGACACTGAAATTACAATGAAGCAAGGCAGCCTGTCAACCACATATCAATTAGGGGTAATCAGGGCAAACCTGCGATAAATTTATTCTGTAAAGATCTGTTGAGGAGGCAGCACAGAGCAAATCGCAAGACCATGAATCATATGCCATATCCCTTCCCATCCTATTCATAAGACGCAATAAAGTTTAGCTATATCCAACAATAAACATATTAACATATGAAAGCCAATGGAAACTCAATGATCAAGTAACTGCAATTTGTTTTCACATGTGTAGTTAAAATGATAATGAAAGAAAATGAGACATTCAGGTGATGTTCCTTCATAGAACTTCAAATGGTGATAAAAAGATGAAGGCTTAATTAATGTGAAAGTTCCTCCAACTTCTTTTCTCGGGAGAGAGCTAGCGGATGTGAATTTATCAATAAAAGGTCGAACAGCATTAACAGAATGCAAATCGGCAAAAACCCAAATTATTGCACCTCAGTTAAGTAGTTAACAGAATGGAAACTCCAGCTGACTTTGCCCGTTAGAAACCATAAGTCAGCAATGTAATTGATATTTGATTATTTTTAATATTATTCCCTCGCATTAAGACTTGTTTCTTTTCATGTACCATGCCAATAGTACCGAAAGTACCAAAATATGATTTTATGAGTTCATTCAACAAAAAAGATACATGCAATTAGTAAGAGGTAGCTTACCTAGGAATCCTCACTTTATAATGACTTCCATATTTAGCATGTAGACAGATAGAGCGATCAGCACACATAAATGCAATCTTAGAGTAATCATCAGACAGCACCTGTTTCGTTTCAGCCACGAATATCATCCCAAGTATAATTTATTACAGTGGTGTTCATATTCATATTCGATAAGCTAAATCAATATGCAAATGAAGCAATGGAAAAGTACCTCGAAATCAACAATTTCAGAAACCAAATGTCTTTCAAACTTCAAGGACAGTTCCCTTAACTCATACACCTTAACTTGGGGAGGGTAAATACCTATAATTGATTTTCAACAACATTAATAAATTGAATCAATAACAACAAAAGCCTTAGTCCCGATATGATTTTGTGTCCGCTAAAATTAATTAATTCGATCAACAACAACAAAGAGATAGTCTCAAAATTGAATCAATAACAACAAAAGCCTTAGTCCCGATATGATTTTGTGTCCGCTAAAATTAATTAATTCGATCAACAACAACAAAGAGATAGTCTCAAAATAATTTGGGGTCAGCTAACATTAATTAATTCGATCAACCACGAAAATTCCATTCCAGTAATGCAATTCCTAGATGACCTACCTGAAGCAAGAAGAAATTCTCCATCAGGTGTGGCCTTGATTTTGGTGGTGGCGGTTTCGAAGTTCAAGTCCTGAATCAACTCTACTCTTTGCGAATACTCTGAACAACAAATTTTGCAAATTTAATTAATACAACAAACATATTCATCAACAATTCAAATAATAATAACATAAATTATGCAAATTTCACAAAATTAAGATTGAAGAGGTACCAGTGTCTTTGCGGAGAGCACGCTGTTTCTTGGGGTTAAGCCAGGTTGCAAGAGAACGTTGATGGCCAGTTAAAGAATAGACTTTGACGCCATTGATGGAGGTTGATTTGAGTGTACCTCCATGGTAAGCCATTCTATTGGTGTTCTTCTTCTGGGGACTTTTGTCAAGTAAAGGGTTTAACTTGATTTTAATTTTAGGGTTTTGCAGAGAAGAGGATGCTGAATACCTATGTTGCACGGATACCGACACGGACACGGACACGGGAAAACGGCAATCCTGAAATAGGGGACACGGGTACAGCGTATATCAAGGCATATAATACATCAAAAAAACGAGAATTTGACAACCTATTCAATAAAACACTAAATAATTAGCCTCAAAACACACAATTTTGTTTAAACAAGTAAATAAACAAAGTGTACGAACATAATCTCATACATATCAAGAAACCATCCAACCAAATACATGTCTTGATAATAGTTTTACAAATCATAAATAAAATAAACATAAGTACTAATAGTTTCATTCTTCACCATCACCAAGTACATCATCAAAAATCATATTTTCCATCTCGGGTTCATCAAGTGAGAGCCCAGCCATCTCGGGTTCATATTTTCCAAAAGTTACATTTCCAATTATAATTTCCTCCACCACCCGTTATTTTATCACCCTTAACAACAAATTTCCACAAAGGGTAGGGGTCTTTCATAGACTCAGATGAATTACTACTACCACTGACATTGCATGAAGCAGAGGAACTAGAAGACATTCCTGACAATTTCAACAAGACAACAATACAATTTCAGCAAGACAACAATACAATTTCAGTTTTTCATGCTTATATCAAATGCATTAAAGTTTAATTAAACAAGTCCAACAAGTCCAGCAACTAGCCAACTATACAGTATACATTAAAGTATCAAAAATCAAATTTTCAGTTCTTCATTTCCAAATTAAATTACAGTATACAGGATGTATACATGAAGGATCAATTATGTACACTTGTTCCTGATTCTAATCATATTAAAGTTAAATTAATTGAATGTATACATGAAGGAGCAATTGAATTTCAGAAAATTAATTGAATGTATACATGAAGGAGCAATTGAATTTCAGAAAATTAATTGAATGTATACATGAAGGAGCAATCGAAAATCAGAAAATTAATTGAATTTAAAAAAAAAAAAAAAAAAAAAACAAAGTAGAGAACCTCAGAACCATACCTGGTGGCTGACGCGCGACGGACGACAGGCGACAGACGACAGTGAGCTGGAGACTGGTGGCCTGGTGGGTGGTGGCTGAGGACGAACAGCGGTGAGAGAAGGCTAGCAGCCTAGCACGAGCAGCAGGTGACAGGCCTAAACAGCAACGAACGGTGACTCGGTGAGAGACGCTGCTAGCAGATCTGAGACAGACGCTTGAATGTGACAGCGGTGGTGAGACCGACGGCCGGCGGTGACGACTGACGGGCGACGGCGACGAGCTACAGAGTACTTAGGGTATGAGTCAGTGAGAGAATGAGAGGATTGAGAGTTTGAGACTTTGGGAAGTTGGGAGAGGCAGAGCACGAGTCAGTGAGGGTATTGTATTTGGCGTGTCCAATACAAAACGGGCCGTGTCTTGGGGGTGACACGGTCCGTGTCCAAGTATCAAAATTTAAAAAAAAAAACGACACGGTTTTCTGTGTGTGTCGGACACGTGTCGCCCCGTGTCCGTGTCCGACACGCGTGTCGACTCGGACTCTCTTGTCAGGTGGCGTGTCTGTGCATCACAGCTGAATAATCAAGTTGGGAAAGAAAGGCCGAAGGCGAGGTTTTTGCTTCTTGTTGCGGAGTCGCAAAAGAATGTGCATGGGTCGCCCAAGCCCGTGTGAAATGCTACCGGGTTCTGCTTAAATTTTTTATTTTTGGGACGGGATTGTGCCTAAATAAAGTCCTAAGAAATTCATAATACTATGTATGTCATGCTTGTGTTGATCTTTTAAACCTAGTTTATACGCGGCATGATACCTTGACCCATGTGTTTGTGCTTAAATTAATAAAATAAACAAAGCGATAGTCCACTATGTAAACGTCATGCCAAATTTTGAATTGATATTTACGAACAACCCATGGTTGACCTTGCATTGTCCTTTGTGTCGTGTTGGGCTAAGTGAGCTTGTACCGAATTAGGACATTTATGTGTCTTCATGCCGACTCATGCTCAATTGTAGTTACAAATGCATGCCCTTATGACTTATCATCGTCAAAAGTGTTTTTATTTTAACTTTTTTATGAGACGATTACCTTTTGGCTAAATTAGAAAAAAACACCTGTTAAAAGACCTAATTTTGTTTTTAACACCTTAAGATTTCGAAGTTTAATTATAACACCTGTTAAAAAATAAAAATTTTGCTTTCACCACCTAAATTGGAACAACGTTAGAGGATCTGTTAGCTGGGCCCACAATAACGGCTATTTTTTCCAAACTGCTTTATATAGTTACGACATCCTTCACTAATGTAGAATTGTTGAGCTGATTACACAAAATTGCTTCACATTTTGCGAATTCTGACTAACAAATTGGCGAAATTGTTTGATTTTACCATCATTGTTTGGGGGACGTAGATATCAAATCAGGTAATTGCGTCAATAGCACTTTAGAAACCCTAATTTATCTTTCAAAAATAAGGCGTAAATTAATCTATATGTTGTTGACTTAAATGCATAATTCAGGTCGTATCTGGCAATAGTCATGTAATTCGTAAATAGTTAGGGTTCATTGTGTGTTAATTGTGCTGTAATTTGCGAGAAAATGAAATTAGGGTTCATTGTAGAAATAATTTGGGGGTTTTGATTTGTAGGAGTGACTGTTTAATTCCCTTGGTTCAATTGTATTTTTTTCATAGTACGAATGGTTTTGCTTATTATGGATGGCAAATTGGTGCAGGAAATGTCTTCTACAAGTTTCTCACCTTCAAAGGAGAAGAAGTGCAAATGTGGTGTTCCCTTTGCAAAGCTTACCAGTTGGACAAGGGAGAACCCTGGTCGTAAGTTCAGAACATGCAAGTTCTACGATCCTGTAACTGAGAGCAGAGGTTGTAAAGCATTTGAATGGGTGGATGAACAAGATGGGACAGCCTGGCAAACAGAGGTGATCAACAATTTGTTGCTAGATAAGAAACTGTTGAAGGGGGAAATTAGTGATTACAAGAGGGAAGTTGATGATCTTGGTGGACAGTTGAGGTGCTTGCTGAATGAAGTGGACAGGCTGAAAATGAAATGCAAGGCTTTAAACTCTGACAGGAACAAGATGAACAGAGAGATGCATGGAAGGAATGCTAGATCAGATCACTCTGTTCTTAGTCTTGCTGTTGGGATTAGTTTGGTCATATTAGTGATCCTTCTTATTAGGGGGTTTGTAATGCATTAAGTATAACTTGTAATGCTAGTAATTGCATGAAACAGTAATATGGTAATGTAATGATTTATAAGTGGCAGTGAACCACTATTGCAAGCAAACTAATATACACAATTATGAAAGCAAAGAATTAAGTAAGTACCTAAGTAGTTGATATTGCATTTAAGTTGTTGATCAAATTTGTTGTTGCAGTGCCTAACAAAATTGGCTGGTAAAGCCTTAAAGCAAAGTATTAATTTAACAAAACAGGATCCTTGTCCTATACCCAAAAGTAAAGCTACAAATATTGCAACTGATTGTTCAGAAAATACAACCAACAACTAAAGTTCAGAAAAACAATTCAAACATCATTGTGTCAGCCCTCCTTGTCTGGAAGTCAGCAGCTTAGCCCTCCTTGTCTGCACTCCAGTAGCATTGGGTTCAGGTTGGCTGGAAGAGGGGGTGGTGTGATGCTTGGCTTGTGGCTGCCCTTGTTGACTGTGTGAACCTTTCCTCTTACTCAATGGTTCACAGCCAGGTTGCTCTTGGGGAAAAGTCCTATTCCCAATGCTGTTTGGACCAGCCCCTATTGCACTCTGTTTATTAAACACAAATACCAATAAACAAGTATCAACATCCAATTTCATCACAAATTTTAAAAGAAAAGTTACAAATCCAACAGCATACCTTCTTAGCAGCTTTGATCTCCCTCTTCTTCCTTTGCTCAACTACCCAAGGTGAATTTAAAGGAGGCCTTCCTGCAGTTCTCTGCTCAGTTGGTTCAGGTTCATGTGGGCCCTTGCAAGTCTTGGGATAGTGGCCAAATCCACCACAAATCCTACACTGCCCTCACTACTATCCTTTAAAATCAATCCTTTGCCTACAGATTTTTTTTTTCCCTTTCCCTTATCCAACACCTTCACACTGCCAGAACCCCTTTCAAGCTTAGCTTTACCCTTTTGTTTCCCCTTACTCAACAACTTCCCTTTACCAGGAACCCCCTTAATCTCAACAGAAACCCCTTCAACCCTTTCTATCCCCTGTCTAGATCTAGGTTTAGGAGATTCTTCACCCTCCCTCACCTTAGGCTCATTTTTGTTAATTCTTGGGCTCTTCCTAACTACAGTAGGCTTACCTGAACTTTTCTTCCCCTTTCTCTCAGCCTTTACTGGAGTGGACTGGGCCTGGATCTCATGTATGGGCCTTAATGTTTCATTAGCAGTCACAAATACTTCAACATACCCTTCCCCATTCACTGTCTCCAGCAGCCCCTTCACTTCCTCTTCATTTACTAACTCCCTTCTCCCTGTGTTAAAGGTCCTACCTCTTTCTTTATACCAAAGTCTGTAGTTAGGTGGGACATGGACATTAAAGTTCACAAACCCATGCACAGCAGCTACCCTCAAATAATGCAAATCTATCTTATCCACTACCACATCCCTCCTCCAATAACATAACCCACCACACCAACAAAGCAAATGCTTTGATTTTGACACTTGTTTAGTAACAAAAGCACCCCCTACTCTAAATACTATATCAATTAATCCATCTTCGTTGTCGGCCATTTTTCTACCTAATAAACAAATGCAAAGCAAATCAATAAAACCCAACATAGCTAACCCCATTACACAGTCAACCGCAATACTTTAATCAACAAAATCAAACATATTTAAACCAACACAATGACAAACCAGTCAACAGTCAATAAAATCAATGATTTAAACTAAATAATTCACACATTACACTAAATCATACTTAATTTAATCAAATTCAACTTTAATTACAAATTAACCCATTTTACTGTTCTTAGGGTTCCTAATTTTTTTTCCCAAATTACCCTACTACACCCACACAAATGGCATAATGCAGCACACAGTACTTGTTGAAAACTACCTTAAAGGGTTCAAAAGGTACCTGTATTGGAATCTTACTCCTGTTGCTGTCAGAATCCATGAAAAAGTCCAAGCTTTTTGGATGTTGGAAATGGCTGACGGAATCTCGCTGACTTGTTTCGCTCCAATATTGACACCTCCTCTTCCAACTCAATTTCTCAATCACAATAATCAGTATAGGGTTTGAATGTTCGCAGTAATTTTGGTTGTTCAAGATTTGCAGACGAAATTCAATGAAGCAAAATTAGTTGGGTGGTAATAAATGACAGAGAAGATAAATTCGAATTGAAGGGGATGGAATTTGGAGGGTAAAAGACTATGTGGGCCCCACCAAAAAATTCCGTCACAGTTTCTGTTATCTGGTGGTGAAAGCAAAATTTTTATTTTTTAACAGGTGTTATAATTAAACTTCGAAATCTTAAGGTGTTAAAAACAAAATTAGGTCTTTTAACAGGTGTTATTTTCTAATTTAGCCTTACCTTTTAGATCTAATATAGAGAGTAGAAAACATAAAAATTGGTTAGACATATTACAAACCAAACCAAATTGTATAACATGACTAAACGAAAACCAACCGTATAAGTGTATAACATGGTTTAGTTCGTTTATGTTACCAGAATTAATTTTAAACCGAAAAAAAAATCAATAAGAGGTTTCGCCTAAAACCCTTGTCGTCCTCCAAAAGCATGGACCAAAATTCGGGCCTTTAATCAACTCTCCAAATAAACCCTAGCTAAACCCCCATTTTTATTTTATCCACCATTTTTTATTATCCGCCCTCATTTCTCCATAAACCCTAAACTTTGTTCAAAATTGTTAATTTTCCTTCTTCTGGGGTTTCCTTGATTCTGCACAGTCGCTGTTGACTACGGTACACCTTTCTCTCTCTCATACTTTTATTACTGAAATTGAACTCTTTTGTATTCAAACATTTGTTCTTCTCTGCATTTTTTTTAAATTTTTTTATTTGAGTACTATCATTGCTCAGTTAGCACTGTATAATCTAATTATTTTTCTATATTTCTCCCCTTCTTAATTACCCGTTTCCCAATTGGACGCATTTTTGAAAAGTTCAGATTTTTGTAGTTTAAAGTTGCTAGAATTATATAAGCTTGAAATGTAAAGGAATTGATTTATGTAGAAAATGCCGAGGCCATTGGGAGTAAAAGCTGGTAAGAAAAGGAAGAAGAGAGAGGAAAAATATGATAAAGAGGAGGATGAGCAAGTAGAAATGGTACAAGAGGATGTACCAGCTGCTGCCACTATTGAGGAAACAGCTGAAGATGATAAGGTAGCGGAAGATTTGGCCGATGATATCCCCGACATTCCGGTTACTATTACGAAGCAGAAGAGCCAGCCTGGGGCGATTTTCGTGCTCGAAAGGGCTTCCCTTGAGGTTGCCAAAGTAGGGAAGGTATGTCAATCAACAATCTTTAAGCTCTATTGTTTTCCATTATGTTTATTTGTTTGTGTTGTGTGTTGCTTGGATTGGATTGGATATGTTGCAAAGATTAATTAGAGGGTTGGCCTAGATAACTGTGTTGATGGTGTTTGGGAGGGGTATTAATAGATGAACGGGAATTTTGCTGCCGTTGTTAACTGAATTCTGATGTCATATTCATGTGTAATTGCAGACCTACCAAATTTTGAATTATGAGGACCATGCCAATTTTTTGATGAAGCACAAAAAGAATCCTGCAGATTACAGGCCAGACATTGTTCATCAGGTTTATATTACAACTTTTATGTTACGATGCACTTCATTCTATTTATTATATTTGTGCTTTTGTTGACATTTTCAGAAGGTTTCCAAAGATGTATGCTATTATTGTCTTGTGTATCTGGCCGTTTTTCTGAAGTAGTTGTGATTATGAATGATATTTCAGGCTCTTCTGATGATTTTGGATAGCCCCTTGAATAAGGCTGGGAGGATTCAATCTGTGTATGTTAAAACTGAGAAAGGTGTACTTTTTGAGGTTAAACCTCACCTGCGTATTCCAAGAACATATAAGCGTTTTGCTGGCATTATGTGTGAGTTATAATTATTTTGTCATGCATCTTCTTTCTATCAACTTCTATGCGTCACTCTAATTACGTGATTTGCTACTGAAGGCATGACGTGTGGTTACTCCTTAACGCCCTCTCTCATTTATCATTGCAGTGCAACTGTTACAAAAGCTGAGCATATCTGCTGCTGGCAAACGAGATAAACTTTTTCGTGTGGTTAAAAATCCTGTAACTCAGTATCTACCTCTTAATTCTCGTAAGATAGGTGAGCTTCACTCTGAACTAGTAATCCTGTCTAATAAATTTCAGAGTTCAGATCACTTTTATCTCTCTATTCCCCCCTCCATAGTCAGTAACATTTGGCTGTTCATATTTCAGGCTTTTCATTTAGCTCAGAAAAATTGGTTGACATTTAGAAATATGTGGATGTTGTTAAAGATGATTCCAATTTTGTGTTTGTGGTATGTATCAGAAGGGACTAAACTTTGTCTATTAATTCATTTATATGAGTCAAAACTTAGGTGTCTTCTAATCCTTTGCTCGTTCAGGTTGGTGCTATGCCTCATGGAAAGGTTGATGATGAGTACGTTGAAGACTACATATCAAGTAAGTTTTTCCTAAAGTTACTTATGTTGTCCGATTACTTGGAAAGCTATCTACCAGTGTTTAAATACTATGAATAATAGAGTTAATTGCAAATTTGCAACACAGATACTGTTCTAAAGTTTGCATAATTTTTTTGAGTTGGTGGAATTTATTGGAATTTGCGAATTGGAAGTAGTTTAGTTTAAGTGATACTGAATTATGATCTGTAAATTCAGTGAAATTCACTGTTTTTGGGGTAATAACTTAAGTAGTATTCGATGGGTTTATTGGATTTCACACAATTCCTAAGAAACTCCACATCTTCACTCATGGTTGCATCTCTCAGCTCCTCATCCATCATTGCTGATGTTGTTGAGGCCATGTTTTTTTATTATGATGAAGCTTTTCAGTTTTGCGTTTTGTGTTCTGCTTACCTATTTCAAATTCAATATGGTTTAATTTGGTAGCAGCTTAGCTTCTTCTCCAGTATCTTGTCTTGTACCAGTTTACATCATGATAACCATGTTTTACAAAATATAAAAATATCTAACCATTAAATAATGATCTAATCAAATGACAACATGGGTACGTGCTAATCGATTCAAGCATACCACTTGTTATTAATAATATGCATTACTATTTTTAATGTGACTAAAGTCATTGCGTTACTGTCCTCTTGTTTTTGTCTTTACTGGCTATGTGGGTGTATAAAGAGACTCTTCTCTCGGTCTTGCTATGTGGGTACGTGCTAATCGATTCAAGCATACCACTTGGTATGAGATACCTTCCGACGGAAAATTCCATCGGAATAAACCACTTTCGACGGAATTTTCCGTCGGAATGTACTTATTTCTGACGGAAAATTCCGTTAGAAAGGTCAATTAAAAAAAATAAAAACAAAAAATTCCCCCACCCATACCCACCCCCGCCACCAGCCCACACCACCCCCTCCACACACCCAAACCACCACCCACACAGACCCCCCACACACCCAAACCACCACCCACACAAACCCCCCACACACCCAAACCACCCCCACCAGCCACCCTAAACTAAACCCACCCACCTAGACCACCCCCACCCAAACGACCCACCCAGACCACCCCCTGCCACCACCACACCCAAAACTTCACCCACCCCACCTAACCCTAACCAAATCACCCAAAATAAAAAACCACCCACACAATAAATCAAATCGAGAAAACAGCCAAATCGAAATAAAAAAAAATCAAAAATACAATCGAAAAAAAAAAACTATATAAACAAAACAAAACAAATCAAATAAAAATCGAAACAATACGGATCCGAAAAAAATACAAATAAACAAATGAAATCAAACAAAACAACTATATATACATTTACTTCTGAAATTAATAAAGATCCGAAAAAAAATTAAAAAAAAAACCCCTAGATCTACAAATCATCATATGCTGCTGGTTGTCGTTGATGTCGATCGAAGTTCACGAAGATGTTGTTGGTGTCGTTGATGTGGTGGTGCGTTGCTGGTTGTCGACGGAAGATGTTGGTGTCGAAGACGAAGGGGACGAAGAAGACGAAGAAGGATAATGAAGGGGACGAAGAGAGATAAGGAAGGAGAAGAGTAAGAAAGGGATGGGGGAATGGAGGAGTAGAAGAGAAGAGGAAAGAAAGAGGAGAGAGAAATAGAGGAGAGAGAGAGAGAAGAGAGGCGGAGAGGAGAGGAGAGAGAAAAGTGAAATGAAAGGGGGAAGGGTAGGGTTTCCGGGTTTTCAATTGTTTTTTTTTTAAATTAAAGGCTAAAATCCGTCGGAACAGGTGTAATTTCCGTCGGATTTTAATTCCGTAGGAAGTTAAATGTTCTGACGGAATATTCTGTCGGAAGTTTGCGACGGATTTTATTTCCGTAGGAAAATTAATGCTCATGGCCGGAGGCAATGTGAACTGAAGCATCAACACGAAGCGATATAAAAGGTCTGGTGGGAGGAAGCCAAAAGTATCAGCAACTTTTACTACTCCAATTCCAATCACAGGAAGCAGCAAGTATTTGACAAATAGAATCCCAATTATCACAGTTGGCTTTACTTTTGATGATCTTAATCCTGTTTAAACCAAGTAATTAGTTAGAGATTGTAATCCTGTTTAAATGGACTGTTAACTCAAATCTTTTGATATTAATTTACCTTGTATTAGGTTTCCACCTAGTATAAGGGTGATAGAAGGTATTGTTCCATCCCTGCAAGAATATTTATAAGGTATGTTATAGTTTAGTAGATGTTATTTTGTATATAGGCTTTGTTCTCTTCAATGTAAATTTCTTCTGTAAAATTGAACTCATTTTTTCTGAACTGCTCTTGTTTTTTATGAACAAAACTTATTTTTGCTGTAACTGAATTTAATAAGCTGAAAAAAACAGAGTTGAAAATTTCATCAAGACATACCCAAGCAATTTGAGGGAATCTTGTATCACTCGAAGTGGAGCTCCATCCCCTATAACAAGGCCCCTCAACCAAGTAGTAGCTCCAAAAATGAGTCCAATAATCTAGATCAAAAGCATAAAACTGCATAAGCTAGTCGAAGGACTACATGAAAAGCCACGTCCTTTGCCTAACTCCAGGCCTGTCTGGACTTTGGATGTACCATTATAAATATTTTACTCCGTAGTTGTTATTGCAATGGTTATTGTTAGGCCTGTCTAGACTTTGGATGTACAAACCAATCCTAGGACTATTGTCAGCTAAATATTGAAAGTTCATAGCATATAGGATCGAAAAGAAGGTAGTCTTAAACATTTAGTAGTAGCATTTCAAGCAGATTAATGCAAGGTGCTACATACATTGCTATTTCACCATACAAAGTCTGTAAAAGTTTATGTTTATAGATAGAAGAAAGACTCACTGCACCAAGCTAGGAGGTGCCATTAGTTCCTCTAATATTAGGTGTAGAAACTCGATTATCTTCCTCCAAAGGGGCTCGCTTTCCTTCTTAGGTGATACCTAAGATATTTATACAGGCCAGATAAGTTACAGTACTATTATTATATTCTGTAAACATACTATACAGAAGAAAAGAATGAACTTACAGGATGGCTTTCTGCATCATACCCTTCACTCTCTCCGTTGAGAAGATGGGCTTTTACATCAGCTTTTAAGTCGTCGTTTGGATCCCTTGCAGCCTCCTCTTCCGCGGCTCTTAGTGCTTTAAACTTAATGGATGAACTCTTTACCAAGTGAAAAGTGTATGTCCATATGTAAAACCCCCCTAGCTGCAATAACAACAGCATGCTAGGTGTTTCAGTGCGAAAGCATGCTTAAGCCTATGATGCAAGCAAATTTGTCAAAATTCTTATCTAAAGATGCTCATCAATATGTGTTACTAAAAACCAGTGGAGGAGCTATTTTGGCATACCTAATCAAAATATTAAGTATTAAATTTAAAATAAATAAAACAAATTAGATTACAGATAATAATTGTACTGGTATTTGGCTTTGAAGTCATCAAATTATGACCCTAAATTTGTCAAAAAAAAAAAATAATTTTGAAATTACTTTTGTCATTTTGTAAAAATTAAATATATCTACAATATGGGTTTGGTGCAATCTTTACAACATATTGAAACTATTTGTTGCTCAAATTTGAGTAGTTGTTACTCTTAATAGGGATATGAAGTAACCACTTTAAATTTTAAGGGGTTACCTTTTTATTACTAATTGGTTTGTCTTTTTTTTTTTTTTTTTTGACAACATACTAATTGGTTTGTCATAGATCTTTTCTTACAAAGAAAGTGGAAACTAATGTCGTTTATAAATACTTACTCCGTATATTATTAGGGTAATTACCTAGGTGACCTTGAAGTTTAACGAAGTACATATTGTACATTTAATTTGATCATGTGCAAGCTAAGTAACAACTTAAGTAAACCGGGAATAAAAAATTACTATCCATAGAAATGCTAAGTGATGTGAAAACATGTTATTGCCTTTTATCATTTACAATTCTTTATTATTGAATTTTTTTTCCTCATCACCTTTTATCATTTACACTTCTTTATTATTGAAAATTTGTTTGTTTGTCAAAAACATGTACTATAATAATAAAAAAGACGGGATAAGAATGAAAAAAATATAATGAGTAGGAATTTGGAGCTAAGAAGACAATTAAGTGTTTTTTTAATAAGTGGAATTATTATCTTTATATGGAGGGGATTTTTTTTTATTATTTAAAATAATTCCTCCATAAAAACTACAATAATCAAGTAGTTTTTGCATTGTGAAACATCTCCTACTTAAATCGCTAAAAAATACCGTCTTTTGGAGAAGAAATTAAATAAATCATTTTTATATATTTCCACAACTCCATAACTCCATAAGTAGGAATAAAAAAACCAATACAAGTACTATTTTCTATTTTTTCGGTTATAATTTTACGAATACTAAAAATATATACGTATTAAAATAATTAAAATAATACGGAGTACTAGTAGAAATAATAATACCAGTAGAAAATTAGCAAAACCGCTCACAAAGTCACAAGTCACAACACAAAACTGTTGCCCCTTATTCTAGGGTTTAAGCAACAGAGTAAAACCCACCGGTGCCAAAAAAAAAAAAAAAATCTGCATTTTTTTCACTTAAATTGTACCAAATTCTTAGATATAATCATAATATACATAAAACACATATATTTTCTTCAATAACTTGTAATATTACACTTTAAAAAACTGAAGAAAAAAAATATAAAATCAAGGTCTGGAGAAGCAAGGGTGTGTTTAGCTGTTGCTGGCTACTGCTTTCTGTTTCTGGCTGCTTAGGCCCTGGCTGGTGTGAGCTGGTTCAGGTTGCTGGTTCTGTTGCCTGCTCTTTCAGCTGTGATGTTGCTGTTTGGTTGCTGGCCTGGTTTTGCAAAGCCTGTTGGCTATTTGCTGGTTGTTAGCTGTTGTCTGGTGGTGCTGGCTGTTGCTGTTGTTTTACCTGTCAAAGTTGCTAAACAAACACGCACACACACACACACACACACACAAATAGACACAGACACACATATTGTATATGGGGAGGACAAGACATTAATAACATGGTTTTTGCTTGTAGAAAATAACCACTTCTATCTTTTCAGCTCAGATTACAGAATGTATCTTCAGGCGCAAAAGTTTCCAGATGTTTTAGTAAGAAAATAGCTCCAAAAAAAGAGAAAAGGGTTAGGGGGGGGGGGTTATCAAACTAAGACATAACAACAATTCCTAATGCATAAGTTTGTATGCACACAGAAATTTGAGTGAAAAGTCATAACAAATGCCAAATGTCTATGTCTATGACATAGGTTAACCGGTGCTAACTATATGATTTGGCACCGGTTCAATACCATAAGCAACAGTACACTCTTAGCTTGGCATTCAATGACTTTTCAAGCACAACAACAAAAACCACAAATTTCATCAAAATAAAGCAAATAATTCATGAATCCATCACGGGTTTTATTTTCATCCAAAAACTTCTCAAACTGTGTTACCTCAATGGACAAATCGGAGCAAATCACAGTGAGAAGTTGTACGATGAAAGTGAGTCCCTTCATCATATGGATTATCCTAGTGTAACTATTTACGGCCAAGGGACTCAACGCATTAGTTTGTTATATACGGGTCAGTTAAAAAGCGACGTAGTTAAGGAGAATATTCCAAGCAACATTAATCAAGGAACTCAGGCCACACACCAACATCAATAGCAACAACAACATATCACAATCATTCATCCCCTAGCCAGCAACAAATCACAGTTGTTGGCAACCATTAATCAACAAGCAACACACAATCCTCCATCAACAAACACTTGATAAATTTGAGCTCAGATAATACTTTGTACGGTTTATATAATTAGGGTCAGATTATCATGAAAATGCAGAAAAATTATCAAGAGACATCCTTTACATCATCGTCATCAAACTCATCACCATACTCATCATCATCCTTGAGTATCTCTTGTGCGCCTTGTAAAACTATTTAGACACTTGATAAATTGTTGGGAAAAATCAAATCTAATACACTCTCATTATCATGCGGGAATGGAAATACATTTATAATTGGACAAGGATTACCAAGGCAGAGTAATGCCATTTCCATTTCCAGTAAAGACAAAAACAAGAGGACAGACGCCAGATGGAAGACCGAGAGAGAAGATCTCTTTATATACCCACATAGCCAGTAAAGACAAAAACAAGAGGACAGTAACGCAATGACTTTAGTCACATTAAAAATAGTAATGCATATTATTAATAACAAGTGGTATGCTTGAATCGATTAGCACGTACCCATGTTGTCATTTGATTAGATCATTTTTTAGTTGTTAGATATTTTTATATTTTGTAAAACATGGTTAGCATGATGTAAACTGGTACAAGACAAGATATTGGAGAAGAAGCTAAGCTGCTACCAAATTAAACCATATTGAATTTGAAATAGGTAAGCAGAACACAAAACGCAAAACTGAAAAGCTTTATCATAATAAAAAAACATGGCCTCAACAACATCAGCAATGATGGATGAGGAGCTGAGAGATGCAGCCATGAGTGAAGATGTGGAGTTTCTTAGGAATTGTGTGAAATCCAATAAACCCATCGAATACTACTTAAGTTATTACCCCAAAAACAGTGAATTTCACTGAATTTACAAATCATAATTCAATATCACTTAAACTAAACTACTTCCAATTCACAAATTCCAATAAATTCCACCAACTCAACTTAACTACTAATCAAAATCAATAACCAAGCATAATTAGCAACCCTAAAAATCGTATATTTCCAGTGAATCAACCAAACTCAACTTTTCTCAATTATATCGACTCAATTATACAAAATTCCAATCAGATCTATAACAAAGCACATCAATCAAAGTCCAGATCAACTAAAAAGCTCAATCACAACAAAGATCTGAGCAGATCCGATAAAATAACCAAACATACAAACTGTTTGGGGGTTTTCTGTGTCCTTCGGGAGAGTTACAATTTCCTAGCAGACTTCCTTCTTACGCCTGTACTTGCACCTAGCCGACTTCCTTCTTGCGCCTGTACCTGCACAAGTAACGGAGACTCCGGATGGGGGGTGGGAGTTCCGCCTCCGAAGATTAAGTTAGTATCTTTTCGAAGTGGAATAAGAACTGTAAAAGCTTCTCGGTTCGAGAGCGTTTCAGTAGGTTTAGGCTTTGTTTGGTTTTTTGTGGTTGCAATTAATGTCTGTCCCTCATAAATGAGGTCTACCCTTTCTATTTATAGTAAGGGAGAACTGTACCTCAATAAGGGTATAAGGGACACGTGTCTGCAAAGGAAATGGGCCTTTGCAGACTGCTGAAAGATTGACACGTGTCAAGCATTTATTGGGCCACGTGTCTTAGGTATTTTCACCCTAAACATCTGCCCCTCACAGATGAGATGTGGCAATCTCACGTGTCATCTGTGACAGACGTAGGGTGCACGGGGTAAGTGACGGTTCGTCTGCCTTCCCCCTCTTGAATTTCAAATTTTCGTGCAAGTGACTGTTCGCCTTCTGCCTCTTTCTATAAGTAGGGTGGCTACCTCTTTCCTCCGCACTTTTTATTTTCAAAAATTTCCTGAGAAGCTCTGATACCGGCTGCTTCTTTCAAGACTTTCGAGCATCCGGTTTTCGCAAGAACTTGACGTCTGCCTTCCGGCTGAGTGCGGATTTAGTAAGGTACCGTCTGCTTTCTCCCTCTACCCCTAGATTAAGGACCTCACTCGGCATTTTGCCGCCTGGGTATATTATGTAAAATACCCTCATCCGTCATTTTGCCGCAAGGGGTTGGCTTGGGACAAATCCAAAAAATCTCCCTCATCCGGCGTTTTGCCGTCTGGAATGTTTAATATATTACCATCCGGCATTGTGCCGCATGGGACCCCTTTAAGCCAACTTTGTTTTAATGCAGACTAGTCATAAGTACCCTCATCCGGCCTTTAGCCGTATGGGGGTGGTTTGATCAACCTTTGCTTTCAAACATCTTTCAAATTGCCCCCATCCGGCATTTAACCGTATGGGGGTAGTTTGAGTAGCCTTGGCTTTTTCTCAAACATCATTCAAATTGCCCCCATCCGGCATTTAACCGTATGGGGGTAGTTTGAGCAACCTCGACTTTTCCCCAAACGTTGTTTTAATTGCCCCCATCCGGCGTCTAACCGTATGGGGGTTGTTTGAGCAGCCTTGAGCTTTTTTTTTTTAAACATACAAATAGCCCCCATCCGGCTTTTAACCGTATGGGGATCGTTTGAGCAACCTTGGCTCAAACTGTTTCAAATTGCCCCCATCCGGCTTTTAACCGTATGGGGGTCGTTTGAGCAGCCTTGGCTTTAACTGTTTCAAATTGCCCCCATCCGGCTTTTAACCGTATGGGGGTCGTTTGAGCAGCCTTGGCTTTTTCTCAAACGTTGTTTAAATTGCCCCCATCCGGCGTCTAACCGTA